AAGAAAGAAGTGGCTCTCCTTGTTGAATCCAGGCCTGGTGGAGCATTCCAGTGAAGCCGGAAGGAGACAGGGGCTGTTGAGAAAAGTAGACATCAGGAGGAATACCACTTCTTTGCTGCCACTACCATTACTTTCCTACCTGCATTACTGTAGCAGCCTGCGCGCCCTACTTAGGTCTGTTTTCCACCCAGTTGCCAAAGTGATGTTTTTGAAATATAAATCAGGTCATATGACTCTTCTGCTTAAATCTCTCCAATGGTTTCCTGTTACATTTATCTTTACTGAATTTTATATACACTTATTCTACCAGTTATTGAGAGAGGTATATAAATGTAAATTTCTTTCTGCTATTAATTCATAAATTTTTGTTTCATGTATTTTGAAGCTATATTACTAGATGCCTGCAAGTTTAGAACTGATAAATTTTCCTGGGGGAATCTACTCTTTTATCATTATTTAATATCCCTCTCTATATCTAGAAATGCTTCATGTCTCAGAACCATAGTTCCCAAACTGTGTACTGAGGTGCCTGGAGGCACTACAAACTTATAGGGCACTTCAGGATATTTTAAATTTTCAAGGGAAAGCTAGCAACAACTGTTAGATACTATTGAGCTACTGGAGGTAATTCATCTTTTCAAATTAGATCACACTTGTATTAGTATCCTATTGCTGCATAACAAATTAGCCCATCATTACTGAAAACCATTCTGGAAAGAGAGAGTGAACCCCACAGAATGTAGAGACACAGATACTGGGATAAGGGAAAATCACAATATTAATAGCTTTGGTTGAGACTATACAGATTGTCTGATCCAGGGAAGCCATCACTAGGGTGACCAGTGGTCCCAGGACTTTGAGTGCTAAAACCAGGAAAGTACTGGGCAAACCAATGGTTATTTACCCTGCCAGTCCCTACATCCATGGCCATCACTGTAGTCCCAGAATTCTGCTCACAGCTGTGCTTCAGTTAGCTGCTGCAGAGCAGCCAGACTTGGCAGCTACCTAAAACCTATTTGCTGTCTTGGGCCTGGTTTTTGTTTTGTATGAAACAAAAATAAGGCCTGGGATGGGAAAGAAAGGACTTGTTCTGGCTGAAAACCGAACTGGGCCTACTAACTCCCAAGACTATTCTGTATTTTTTGCATGTTAAGTTTTTTAGTTTTCAATTAAAAATAGTCAGTTTACGATGTTGTGTCAATTTCTGGTGTACAGCATGTTTCAGTCATACATATACATACATATATATTCCTTTTCATATTTTTTCATTATAGGTCACTACAAGATATTGAATATAGTTCCCTGTGCTATACTGTAGAAACTTGTTGTATATCTATTTTATACATAGTACTTAGTATCTGCAAATCTTGAACTCCCAATTTATCCCTTCACACTTCCCTTTCCGCCCTGGTAACCATAAATTTGTTTTCTATGTCTGTTGAGTCTGTTTCTGTTTTGTAAGTAAGTTCATTTGTGTCATTTTTTTTTTTTAAGATTCCACATATGAGTGATACCATATGGTATTTTTCTTTCTCTTTCTGCTTACCAAGACTATTTTTGGAAAGCATCTCAGGTGATGCTTATCATTGGGCAATTGGCAAACACTGCATGGCATCATGGGAGACTGTGTGGGTGGGGCAGGGGCAGCCTAGGCTTCCAGTTAAGAACTTGTTTGAATTCTGTGCCTGTCAATTATTAGCAGGGTGATTGTGGGTAATCAGCTTCACTTCCCTGAAACTCATTTCTCTTCATCTGTAAAAATGATGGGGATATTACCTCTTTGACATTTGTAAAGATTAAATGAGATAACAAATGTAAAGTTTTTTCATTAGTAACATGTAGTTGATGATAACAAAGAATTGTTATGAGGAATAATGGGTTAGTGCATGACAAATGCTAAGAACAGAGCCTGGCACGTAGTAAATGCTCAGGTGGGACACCTGAGGCATAGTGAAGTTAAGTGATTTGTCTAAGGGCAGACACTGGTAAATGGTGCAGCTGGGATTGAAATTCAGACAGTCTGGCTCCATGGCCCAAATTCCTAACCACTCTAAGGTACCACCTATTAGATACTGTTATGGACTGAATATTTGCAGCCTCCCCCCCCCCATTTATATGTTGAAGCCCTAACCCCCTAGTGTGATGGTATTTGGAGATGGGGCCTTTGTGAGGTAATTAGGGTTAAATGAGGTCATGAGGGTGGGGCCCTAATGATGGGATTAGTGTCCTTATAAGAAAAGATGCCTGAGAGCTCATTCCCTGTTCCCCTTCCCCCTCCCCCACCTCCCCCACCTCTCCCAAGCGGTTGAGATGGCCATCACCTACAGGCAAAGAGAAAACAGCTTCAAAATGAAGCTTACATTACTGGCACCTTGATCTTGAATTTCCCAGCCTCCAAACTTGGGAAAAATAGATTTCTGTTGTCTATGGTATTTGATTATGGCAGCCCAAGCTAAGATGGTACTTACTCACAATATGAAGTATTCTCATCAGCCTTTTCTGGGTATTTACAGAAGCACAAAGTATACACACATACAATCTATAAACATTCTATTAAGACACTCTTAAATTTTGAGTTTTTTGGTTACTATTTTATCATGTTTCTTCATGTCATTTCCATACAGAGTAAATGTGTGGCCCAGGCAGGCAACTACCTAGGTGCTCAAGGCCAGAGTCATTGACTGAGAAGCTAAGGAGGAGGCCTAAGGATTAGATACTCTGCTCTATGCTAGGTTTTCTCAGCTCCTCTGGCTTGACTCTCCTGGAAATGTGGTCGTGGGAGTGGGTCTGAGGGGGTGACAGCAGGGCCAGAGGGCCCTGCAGTGGAGGAGGGGGAGGAG